CAGCGGTCATCAGTAGCCAACAGCTCCTCAGCTAAGGTTGGGGCTTTTTGCCCACTTCCCCACTTCTGGGCTGGGCATTTGTCTGGCTTGAGCTTGTGTGGGTCTTGTACGAGCTGTTACCACTGCTGTGAGTTCATATGAGTAACTTCCCAGCTACCTGGAAAACTGTTTCCTTATGGTCATCCACATCCCTGGCTCTTACAGTCTTTCTGTCCCCTCTTCCACAATGGTCCCCGAGACTTGAGTGGCAGAGGTTTGATACAGGTGTCCTACCTAGGGACAAGCACTCTGCAGTCTCTTATTCTCTGCACTTTGGCCAGTTACGGCTTTCTGGGTTAATGACCATCTGTTACATGAGGAGGCTTCACACTGGTGAGAGTTGACAGACAGTAATATTCTTTCAGCCCCCTCTTCCTCTATGTTCCCTGAGCCTTATCCACCTTACTTTTTGAGACACAGCCTCTCATTGGACCTGTAGCTAAGCCGGCTAGCCGACAAGCCCCAAGGACCTTATCTCCAGCTCCCAGCACTGGGGTTACAGAAATGGGTCCTCATGCCTCTGCAGTCCTCCCCTTGGTACCTTTCGGCACACAAGCTGTCAAAGTCCAACCCTCCAGTTTCCCTTTTCTGTCCTCCGACCCCCCCATTAACTCATCAATAAAAAGAAAAATAAATCTGGAAAAGAAAAACACTTTATTAATCTGCAAGTTCCCATGGGTGAAACTACCTGCGGACAACTGAAATAAATACCTGCTGGATAGACTCTCCCTTTACCCCCAGGGGTCTTAAGATTATGTGTGTGTACACACACACACACACACACACACACACACGTGCGCACACACGCACGCACGCATGCACATGCATATATATATACATGTTTGGATTTGTATATGTACTCCAAAACCCTGGACTCATTTTTCTGGACTCTGTGTTTATTCACAGAGAGGAAAAACAGCTGGTCCTGACGAAAGCTAAGGAACCTGATTGATTCTCAAACAGAAGTAACCAGACCAAGGCAAGTACATGTGGGGCGAAAACAAGTTTGGAGGCCCCAGATAAAAGCTTATTTTTAAAGCACAGATGGCAGGCTGGTTGCTTCTCCAACGGAATGGCTGCAAATGAAAGACAGATTTATATTTCTAGTCCATGCAAATATTTTGCTCTGTGGCTCATCACAAAGACTAACTATTCTGCTTCACAAGCCGCAGCTCCCAGGTGCTCTGGAGAAGCCAGAGCCCATCCCACAGAGGGCCAGAGCCCGTCCCACCGAGGGCCAGAGCCCGTCCCACAGAGGACCAGAGCCCATCCCACCGAGGGCCAGAGCCCATCCCACAGAGGACCAGAGCCCACCCCCACCAAGGGGCCAGAGCCCGTCCCACTGAGGACCAGAGCCACCCGCACTGAGGGGCCAGAGCCACCCCCCACTGAGGGAACTGGTAACTGGGATCCCAGCAGATGGCTGGAGAGATCATCATTAACCAGCTCCAAGAAGCATGGGGTAGAATCCTGCCCTACCTCCATGGTTTTCTACCACAATCAATTCCATCCTGGACACTGCTAAAACCTCCTCAGGCAGCTGATTCCAAAGGCTGCGGCTCGCTGCCCTTGACATGCTCCACCTTGATTTCAGGTCATCTGTTCATCTCCAAACTCCAAAACCAAAAGTCCTCAGCACATCCAGATGTCATTCTCCCTTGACTCTGGTCCACAATCCCTAAGACTGAAGCGTCCCACTGAATCACACCTGAGCCGTTGGTGGCCTTGCCCTTCCCAGCTCGACGCAATCCTCTCTTGGCTTTCCTCCTTGCTTTTCTTTACACACAATGTCCTTTCTCTTATCTCTCTATTTCCTTGGCTTGTGTCTATCATTCACCATGACACCCCTTGGCAGATTCTAGTTTGGGGGCACCACAGGGACAACCAAAGTTTTTGCAATAACATACACACACACACACACACACACACACACACACACACACACCCCTCCTTGGGATAGCATAACCCTTAACTTCAAATATTGTTGGTCATAAAAAAACAGATTCTACTTAAAATCTACATAGTTTAGAACCAATATTTAAGTCTAAGGCTGTCTCTCAAAGCTTTACATAGCTGTTTCCTTGTGTTCAGATGTAAAAACCCTTCTTTCACTCCTAGTTAACCTTTACTTTGGATGCCTCAGGCTAAATGAGCAAAAACAAGTTCTATGGCAAAAGAAAGACTTCTGTAACCAATAAACATCTTCAAAGCATCAATCCCGATACCACAAATTCTGGAATCAAGCCCCTCCTACTTCCCCCTATAAATGCAAATGCTGACAGTCAAATAACACAGCTTAAATTTACTTGCCTGAAAAAAATCTAAAACCTTAACGAATTCTAGAGGCTAACTAGTCCGCTGGCTCCCATGCTTGGTCAAGCATCAGAATCACTTGAGGAGACTGGTCTCATTTAAGGGGTACCCCTCCAGCCCTAGGCATTCCGATTCAAACTCATGGTAAAGCTCTGTGATCCATATTTAAAATAAATGCTCCAATTAACCACAATATGGTAAGTGCTGGTCTGGGAATCACCACTGTATTCTATTACCTGACCTACCATAATGTCCTCCCCTGTAAGATGCCAAATGGGCCATCCAGGCAAGGCCACAATGTTCCCAGAAGTTCAGCCTTTCATAAGTCTAGCTGTACCTTTAGATGACTTCCACTGTTAGAAACTGTGTTCTTAGGCTGAGCAAAACTGCCAAAGTCTTTTAACTCCTTGAACTTTACTTACTATAAGCCTTGTTTTTATGTTCACGTTATCGCAGAAATTCTCTTGCTCACAAGAATCTTCAGATGTCAAAGATGGCTGCTGTGCCCTTGCACAGAACTTACTCAACTTTTAACCTCAGAGTACAGTTAGCCCCTTCCACCCCCACCCTGCTTTCTCTCTGAGATAGTGCCTTATTACGTAGCCCAAGCTGGCCTTGAACACCCGACAATCCCATCTCAGCCTCCTGAGTGCTGGGGTTATAGGTGTGCACCACCATGCCCAGCCCACAAAGCACAGTCCCTGAGTCCCTCACCATGTCAACCACAGTCATCACAGAAGTCTCTCTAGAGTGACATTCATTTCCTTACTGGCATGTCTCGTCACTTTCCTGCATTTAACATTCAAGGGATAAGGATGAACAAATACCTATTAACTGAATGCTGTATCCCTATACCGTGTCAAGTCCCTAGGAGGATTCAAAGTCACAGGAAACAGTTCCAGTTGTAGGACTTACTATTTCTTGTACAGGAAGGAACTGGGTAAGTGAAATAACTTGGAAATGGTGTATGACAGACAGCTTCAGACTACAAACTCATCCATGTCCTCTAATTCCAGAAATACCATAAGCAAGCAACAGCTTTGTGGGGTATGTGTATATGCATGTATGTGCATGTGTAGGTGTCGGTGTGTACATGTGGAAGCCAGGGGTCAACTGGGTGTCCTCCTCTATCACTCTCTACCTTGTCTCTGCCTGAACCTGGAGCTCAGTATTTCAGCTAAGCTAGGGATCCTCCTGTCTGCTCAACACAGCTCCCTGTGCTGGAGTTACAGTCCCACACCAAGCCCCAGGGATGTGCCTGTCTGCTCAACCCAGCTGGCTCCCAGTGCTGGAGTTGCAGACCCATACTGAGCCCCAGGGATCCTCCTGTCTCCTCAACCCAGCTCCCAGTACTGGAGTTGCAGGCCCACACCAGCAGACCCAGCTTTCACATGGGTGCCAGGGATCCCAACTCATGTCCTCCCCCATGTGCAGCAACATCACCCTGGCCATTCACAACAGCTTTGCATTTGTAAGAAAAATTAACGAAGACTATCAGAAACATCTATTCAAATTTCAAATACATCTTCACGTAAGAAATTTACAGCCAGGCATGTTGGCACACGCCTTTAATCCCAACACTTGGGAGACAGAAGCGGGCAGAGCTCTGTGAGTTCAAGGCCAGCCTGGTCTACACAGCAAGCTCCAGGTCAGCTTCTGCTACAGGGAGACCCTGTCTCAGAAAAAAGAAGGAAGAAAGAGGAAGAGAGGGGAGAGGGAAGGCAGAGTGCCACAGACCTCTAACCCTGGGCAGATGCAGGTGGATCTCTTTGAGTTCAAGGCCAACCTAGTCTACACGGTGAGCTCTAGGCCAGGTGGGCTACATAATGGGACCCCGTCTCAAAACAAAACAAAAGTACTTTGCAACCCTAAAAACACACAAGTTAAATCACACGGAGTTGTGCACCTTCCTCTAAGCATGTCCCTGGTTTGGCCTTCCCGGCACTCCCAATGCCAGTATCTGATCAAAAACTTAAAAACAAGGGGGGACAAAAGCCAAAGGCCTCTGTAGTGCCCTCTACTGCTGGTGCCCACTCAGGGGCTCCGAGGCACGCTCATGGGAAGTCTCTTGCCAGTCTTTGCACTGTGCTGACACTAGCAAAGCATTATTATTTTGTTCACTGAGTCACAAGCCATCAGAACGCTATAAACTCTTGCACACATCATTTCCTTCCAGAGTACAAGACAGCAGAGTCAGGGCCTAGGTCTCCCCTGCTGTCGACTTCCTATCCCCACTCATGTAACCCCAGATAACCAAAACTCTTGCCCTCTCGACGTTTTCTGCCTTAACTCTACCATCTTTAGAAACTTTTTAGTCCTCAAATACAAAGCCCAGTGGCTCACTGGTGTAGGGACTGACCAAAACAGAATTAGGTGGTTAGCTTTAATTAAATTCTAGCATACCTATTTGACTTACCATCCCCAACAAATACATCCTTGCTACTAGACACAAAATTCTACCTGCCTTACCAGAACAGGAAACCACTGGTGACAGCTACACGGATAAAACCAAAATTCTACAGCTGCATAGCAACTGGTAACACCACCCAGACACCCCACCCTCTGCCTCCACACACAGCTACATCAACCAGCTCCTTGGCTTCACAGGCAGCCTCTCAGTCATCCACACCCCTGGGGAACACACCTAC